ACCATAGAATACGATAACATCTAATAAGTAAAATTCGAAAGAGTACAATAACATTCCAATATGAAATATTATATAGCATTTATAAAATCACGAACCAAAGTCCGTATTCAAAACAATAAAATATTTTTCTTTCGTTTTCTATCATAGACATATAAGATCAAAAATTGGGTCAAAAAGTTCTGAGCCATTTTTTTCTACAATTTTTAATTAAGCAGTTATTCCCGAGTTAAATTAATCCAATCGACTCCGTTCTTTAGACGGGCGCACATCAGTGATCCGCGCGTGCAGTAGTGTGCGTGCATGAACATTATAGCGCTGAGCCATAGGCGACGTATAGCGGCGCGGTGCGCGGCTCACTGATGTGAGCCCGTCTACAGAACCGCGTCGATTGGATTAGTTTAATTTAGAAATGACTACTTAATTAAAAATTGCAGAAAAAAAAGACTCAGGACTTTTCGACTCAATTTTTGATCAGGAATAGCCCTATACATGATTAGTGGTCGCTATTTAAGTTACACTTGAAATAAATGGATAAGAGAATAAGTCAGATTTATGAAAGAAAACAGAAAGAAATAAACTAATATAAAATATATAATTAGGCCAATAGAATTTCTATTAAGAATTTAATTTTAAAATAAAAATACATCTTCAAACATTTTATCAATGTAATTTGATGTAAATTTATTATATTTATCAAGGACATGACTGACAAACAAGAGAAAATGAGCACAAAGGCAAAGCTTTCAAAATTACATTGTCCCTTTACGTGGGAAATATTAGACAGTTTTATAAAACATTCAACAGTATATCATGAAAGCAGTAACAACGAAAATAATCCGATGGATGATGAAACATTTGATCCATTAGAACAATTACTAATATGTTTATTCAAATGTTATAAAGCAGTGTCAAGCATAGATAAAGATGAGGCAACAAAAAGTGTTGAAAAAGCTGGAGAGATTTTAATACAAATTCAACAAGAGTATAATACACAATATTTATTCATTTATGTTACATTTTTAAAGTTTCTTAATATAGGTATAATGTTATTATATTGTGCATAATTACAGGAAAGAGTTTTGTCAGATGATACGAGCAATAGAACATGTTTTTTATGCCACAAAATGTTTCTTTCTATATGATGCTGATGATATGGATGGAGTGGAAGAAATATTACAAAATATTATCGATCCTGAAGAGTTCAGCAATATAGAATTAGGTGCTTTATATGGCTGCCAGAGTGTGATTTGGTCTATCTTAAACAATTTCGGCATGAACGAAGCAGTTGATACTGCTAAGAAAGCAGTGGAAAAGAATCAAGAGTGTGCATTATGGCACTTTATTCTCGCAAAGAATCTTAGACGCCAAAGACGTCTACAAAATATTTTATCTAACCCATCAGATATGGAAAAAAAACATTTTGAAATAGCATATGCTATGTCTAAGAATGATATGTTTGGAGTATATTATTTACAAATGCGCCTGGAATGTTTTTTTGAATATAGCAAAGAACGAAATTATATAATGAAGAAAAATGCTAATGAAAGAGATGTGGTACATACAGCTAAACAAATTTTAAATACAAAAC